CTGTGTTTGGGAGGAGGAGCCTGAGCGGGGAGACAGTCCCTGTGCCTACGGACAAGGGGAAAGTAATGCAGCCCAGGGCCAGCTTTCTAGAAAGGGAAGTGACAAGCTGGGATCACAAAGGAATGATACAAGACACCGCTTACAGACGGGTCGATGGACAGGGCACCAAGAGAGAAAGGTGCTGCTGAGTCTCTGATCTGGCAGACTGGAAGAGGGTGAACTCCACAACCAGCAGCTCAGCAAGCAAAATGAAAGAGGTAATCTGTGAGTGGAGAGAGAGGATGTTTACGTGAGTCCAGAAAAAGGCAAATCTGGTGTCAGGCCAATTTGCAGGTTCAAAAAAGTATTTATTCTTTGTCATCTTATTTCTTCATTTGATTATTCATTTGTTTACCTGATAAATTGCTGACTTGTCATGGTGGTCACCATCAGGATTACAGCAGTGGATCTGATTGCTGGCCCCAGGATATCAGCAGTCTTTTTGAAGAGTCCTTTGTGTAGGGAGCATGTCTGAGCCATACACTGCTCAGGTTTTTCTTTGCCCACCATGCTCAGGTATGTGGGCACACAACGAAGTAGAACTCTACCTACACAGAGTTCCGTCCTCCTGCGCTCTGTGCTGCAGTGGCCCAAAGCAAGAGGTGTGGGAGACCTTGCTCGCCTGTTCTGCATTGTCCTGAGGGAGGATGAAGAAGGACCATGAGACCAGGCTGTGGTGGGACCCCGCGGGCACAGGGAAGGACACCACATGGGTCCTGCTGAGGTCACTCAGAGGCCATGGACAATGGGAAGTCACGGTATCTCCACTGAGGTCTCCAGAAAAGGAGCACTGGAGTAACCTTTGGCTCCAGGATAGAGTGTAGAAGGCAAGGCTGACTTAGAAAACGACCAGAAACACATTTCTGGTATTAAATGATAGACAAGTGACCCTGGAACCATGGATGAATGAACCAAGAGAGGAGACAAAAAATATGAAAAAGTAGCCAAGGACTAAGCATACATCCTGTCCCTCACTGCTGCACAAAATTGTGTATTTTAGAAGTCCTTGAGAAACCTCTAGAGAAAAAAGCTGGTCGTAACTATGGTCCAGGAGCAAATAAAAAGCTGATCTACTTCATTGATGACATGAACATGCCTGAAGTGGATTTATATGGCACTGTTCAGCCCCACGCTCTGATTCGGCAGCATATTGATTATGGACACTGGTAAGCAACTCTGTGTTTTATTTTCCACCTAACCTAATTATTATGGTAGATGAACATTTTAAGATGAAATTATTCCCCGCTTCTTATTTTTCTAGGACAGTGTTCTCTGAAATAGATCTTGAATTTACTTTGTATCCCTTGGCATTATATTAAATGGAATTATTTCCCTTTGTATCTTTAGAAGATTGGACAAAAAAATCCTAGAAATCTAGCTGTTTTGAAATGATATCTTCTTTAAGAATCCAGGGCCAGCGAGATAGCTCAGCGGACTAATCA